GGGGGGGTGGCAGATTCGCGGTCTTATCCGTCGGGGTCCTTTTTATATAAAAATAAAATAATAAATAAAATTTTAAAATCAAATGTGTATACAACAAACTTTTTCTATCGGTTATTAATAACAAAAAAAAAAATTTTTTTTTGTATTGATTATGGTTGTATATTGACATGAAATTGCGTCATTGTAAGTGGTGGTATGTGACACAGTCAAGTCAAGAAAATAAACTTTTTTTCTTTTTCTTTTTCTTTCATAGATCATCAACACAATCTAGACATTATCAACAATCGAATATGTAGCACAAAAATTAATGTTAATATATGGTTACGAAAAGTTTTTCAATGATAATTTTATCTTCTTCGAATGTAATCCAATCTAATTTTTCTTTTACAATAATAAAAGAATAAAGAACGAATCTAAGAAAGTGAAAATAGAAGTTACGCATTCTATAATCAGAAACGATTCGGACAATATTCAATCGTTTGTGAATACTTTTTTTTTCTTCTTTGTCTTGTTGTTCCCTCACTCTCTGTGTATGTGTATGTGTGTGTGGTGTGTGTGCGCGCCTTTCTCTCTCTCTCTGGGTCTTTTTCTCCCTCTTCTTCTGTTCTGTTACCGTTACATATATAGACACCCAGCCTAGCCAGTATTACTTATATTAGCGAAGGGCCGTCACGAGAAAACGCATAATTCATCAAAACCGTAGGTGTTTTTTTTTATAATATCCTTTGATTTTAATCGCTCCATCATGATGTTTTTTATTTACAGTTTGAGAATCGCAATTAGTGATCATTAAATATGACCACTAGTATAGATATTGCGGTCTGTCTTGATCGCTCATCATCAATTGCATTTTATTTTAATCAAATTCGTTCAAGCCTTCGTTCAATTTTAAACAGAGCGTTATCATGTCATCAAAGTGATATTCGTATGGCATTAATTGAATTTCAATCACATTCACATCATTGGCGAACAAATATACATCCATTTACTTCATCGGGTGATGAATTTCACGAATGGATTGATGCTATCGAAATTGAAAACGGAAATTTTAATGAAAACAAAGCAATTGGTAAAAAATAAAATAAATAATTTTTTTTATAATATTTTTTTTCCATTAATTTAGTCGATGCACTTGGCGCAACTTTAACACTTGATTGGCGTCCTAATGTAAGTCATATTTATCTTTATTTTTGATCAAATATATATCTTTTTCTTTTTATAAAGAATAATATCAATCGATATCATGAAAAACTCGTAGTTTTGATTACAGATGGTGCTCCATGTGGTTTACTTGATGGTTCATGTCCTTGTAATAGTAATGATCTTTGGCGATTATGTGATAAATTTGAAAAACAAAATACTATATTGGTTGTTATTGGTATTGAACCCAGTATTATAATTTATGATGATTTTTATAGTGCATTAGCAAATAAAACAGGTAAGAAAAAGAAAAAAAAACATTTCGTAATTTTATAATTTTATATTGTAAAAACTTCAGGTGGTATTTATCTTCCATTTATCAATGCAACACGTGTTCTTTCTTCTGTTATTCAAGGAGCCATATTAGAAGAAGACACATTATCACAATTATTTCGTCGTCTTGATATTCATTGTGATCTTGAAAACAATTCTTTATATCATTACAAGTATGTACAAAAAAGAGTGAATTTTATGATGCAATATTGTCGAACAATGGCTGATATTCGAAAATGGTTATATCCAGTTCATCATCCATCAACAGAATATATTACAGGTGGAATGAATGTTAATGATGATGATAATTTCGAACCTGATTTTCCTGTTTCATCAACTCACAGAGAATTGAATTGAAATAGTGAAATTGACAATGACTATTTTTAAAAACAAACTTTTTATCCGTTAGATATTTTCCTTGTCTTTCTGATAGTATTTTTGACTCTCAAATAGAAGAAATCAAGGTTTCTATAGTAAAATTAAACATTCTCTTTTGCTTTACCTCACACAATTTAATAATATGTCCCTGTTTTGCGTATGTGTTCATTAAGACTTAATTTGTCTTCTTTCCTTATTATAATTGAACAAGAAGATGTGTTTTTCGCTTCTTTTCATTTATTAATTCTTTCGCTTATTTTACGAATGTTGTATTTGTTGCATGCTACTTTTTCTCTGCTATTTGGAACATTCGTTTTTCTAACCTTTCTTCACTATTACTTATGTCCTCGTTTATATCTTTCTTTACATTTTTATTAACACATGCGCTTCGTTGTTCACGTTCAGAGAGATACATCATAATAAAGAAAATAACATTTATAGGATGTTAAAAAAAATAAAAGAGATTAGAACAACATTTTTTTTTATCTTATTTTTTTCCACTGTCGAACAAAAATAAATAAATTTCAACGATCTAAGTCAATTGTTAATTAATTTTTATATACATAAAAAGAAATTATTTCCATTATGAATAATGTGTGATGCTGAGCTTGGTAAAGACACAAGGAGTATTTATTTTTTATAGTATGTCTGAGAAAAAAAAAGAAAACAGTTTTTTTTCTATTTAAAATAACCACAAAATATTTCTTTCGCTACAATAATTAGTTTTATCAAACATATCATTCATATTAAAAGAAAAAATATATATTTATTTAACATCATCTTCTGAATCATTTTTGTGGAAAACTGACTCATCAGTTTAATTAATATTTTGCAATACGAATGAACGGTTTTCAGCCTTTATGATAATGATTGTTTAATTTTTATTAAAATAGGATATCAAAAATATAAACAATGTATAATATATTTTTTTATTTTGAAATAGCTATGCTTATATTATAAATAATAATAGTCAAGGTACTACATAGTACAACAGACACTGTTTTGATTTAAAAAAAACAAAAAATAGTGTGCATAAACAATCTACGTATCAGAAAATTTCTTCTGATATGTGTCGGCATAAAATATTTGCTTCATTATTCATATATGCATTGAAGAGTTTCACAAAATGCCGTCACCTGTTGACTCTTCTATTAATTACTGATTTCAATAGTCGTGAAAAGTATAACATGTTATATTAAGACTAATTTTGATTAAACGAAAAGAATACATCGGATGATTTTGTCTCGACAATGACAAGAAAGCTGATGTCATTAATTTGTCTACACTTTAATACATGACATAATCTAGCCGAAAAAAATCCAACTATATACTTATGTTGCTAGATTTTGTATAGAAATTTTATTTAAATAGTATATTATTCAATTGAACTTCGTTATTTTATATTTTGTTGGTATTCTTCTCATGCAAGAAAATCATATGGTATCAGCTGTGTATGTTATTGCATCATACATCTAATGTATGTCAGAGTCTATAGTATAACAGCGCACATGAAAACGTATTTATACGATGTATTACAAGAATTTTATGTTTCCTTTATAAAATAATAAGAAATAGTTGTCGCTCTCTCTTTAAAAAAAGATCACCCTATAAATTGATATATATTCTAGTAGGTGCTATTAGTGTATACAATCACTCCAAATGTCTTTCTTTCTATTGTTGCCTTTTAACCATTATATTCATCCTTCTTTTCTCTTCGTCTTTCTCAGTTACTCAACGCATTCATCTTGTATTTATGTTCTCTCTTTTACATTTTCTACGTAATAACCCAGTCAGGCGCGAGAGTACACACAAAATGTATTATTACATGTGATAAACTTTCTATATTTTATTATTCTATTTTATTTTTAGATTATAGCTATAATGTTGTACTCCAAGGATGACGCAGATATATCCGTTTGTTTTTAGTATTCTGTCTTTTATTCTTCTAAAACAGTAAAAAAACAAATTTTTTGTAATAGTAAATGTTTGCTATTACCGATGCTTATGAGTGCGACCATTACGTCGTTATTTTTTTTACTTTAACATCTTGAAAACTATTGGATAGTTTCATTGATATCTAAAGAATACTATCATAAATCTTCCTTCATTCAAATAGTTTTCAATTGTGCAAATAGAATTATTTCTATTCATTATTTGTATAAAGTTTTGTAAGAAATAATAAGAAACATTCGATTTCTCTGAGTGGAATTTGATGTAAGCAAAGCATATAAACCAATCACAAATAGAAATTAGAAGGAAAATTACTATTTGAAATGTAGCAAAGAGTGCTAAGATATATTTCATATGATATCACTGAAGTGTTTTCTAAAAACAACTTTTCTCGTCTCAAATTTCTCATTCCTAATCCCAAAGAAATTCTTGTTGCACTCATTCCTATAAGCAAAGAAATCAACCGATACTTAGACTTTTTCTATTGAAAAGAAAACTAACGTACAGTAAAACTATGTTCCTTCCTATTGCTGCTTTATAGTCTATAGTAAAAGATTTTTGTTGTACTCATTATCTCTATTTTCCTTTCACGTATGCTAGGCAATTTTATTTGCAAGACGCTTTTGCGATTGATGAGTCATGTTTTTGTATATTAATATGTTGATCAAAAATTGTTTTCTTCAAGAAGAAGGTTTTACAAGAACAACTAATTCAGTCGAGTTACATCTTTATAAATAAAACATTCAGAGTTATTGTTCATATTTTACTTTATATGTTAAGATAGAATATCTTTTTATATCTAAATTGAAATCATACGGTTCATCCAATGATTTTATATTGATACGTTAAAATGTTGAAGCAGTTAATAAATCCTTAATAAATAAATCCCTTCAGTTAAAAAGGTCTTGATAATCCTTTCAAATAACAATATGCATATCAGATGATAGTTACTTAGGTAGGTCATAACGTTATCTCTTGAATCTATCTTTTACATTAAGTATAAATACCTTTGTGCTCTTTTTTTTTTATTGTATTAAGCAAATAGAAGAAGACGAAAAACATTACTGATTTATAGATTAATTGTTTTTATATATATGATGGAAAGTCATAAAACAATTGCAATAAAAACTATTTTTACTTAGACATTTTTGATTACTAAAGTAAGTACATACACTCATGATTTTATATATATATATATTATCAATAAGAATTTATATTTATCACATTCAAATGAATATAAAAGTAAAGATAAAGAATAGGTATATTATATTAGTAAGATTCAGAATTTTCTTTCTAAATACCATTAATTCGTGAAGCACTATAAAAGTCAATTTCACTTTGTATTTACTTTCTTTTCATTAGAGAATATATTATAAACGTTTGTTTTTTAGATTTATAATGTCAAATTGTGAATAGAATCATCTGAAAGACAATTAAATATTATCAGTATAACTTTTACTTTCTTTTATAAAGGCATATAAAGAAATATTTTATCGTATATTTTTCATTTTTCAGTTCATAGATACTATACACATACTATCATATATCAGTTACCTTTGTCAATGGAGTATAAAATGTCCATACATGAAAATAATATTACAGTAACAACTACACAAAATAAAATTCATTATTTCTTTCAGCAACATTGGCAAGGATTAAAAAATTATCTACGTGAATTATGTACATTTCATCCAAATGAATGGCGAAATGCTTTTCGATCCAATTCCATATATCCGATATTTCGAAAAGGAGATATTGATGGTCTAGTCGCTTTATTTATTGATAATTTAGCGACATTATTAACAATTCTTCTTAGTCTACAATCTGTTTTTGATACAGATATTGTTTATGGAAAAATTGCACCTGGGTAAGAATAATAAATAAAATTAGAAATAATTTCATGATTTTTTTTCGTTAGAGTCGCGTTATCTATGGTCTGGGGAAATTTCTATTATGTATATATGGCTCGAAAACTAGCTTATAAAGAGAAACGAGATGATATATGTGCAATGCCATATGGGATTAATACTCCAGGAGCATGTAATTGATCTTTAATTGTTTTATTTTCTATATATTGAATCTTATTAGTTGCATTTGTATTTGGTATTATATTTCCTGTTTATCATAAATGTATACGAGAAAATAATAATATTTCAAATAAACGTTTATGTCAAGAACTTGCTTGGTATATTGCATTAGGAAGTAATCTAATAACTGGTATTGTAATACTTTTATTATGTCTTTTTGGTGAATTTATTCGACGTAATATTCCTGGTGTTGCATTACTTTCATCTCTTTGTGCAGTTGGTTTTACATATTTAGCATTAAGTCAATACTTATCTATAGCTGCTTCACCAATAGTATCTTTTCTTCCATTTGTTATTGTTATGGTCGGTTATTTTAGTGGAAGTAAATAGAATTAAAGTCATTATTTTATCTTTTCTTTTTTTCTATATTTAGTTAAAGTTGGTCCATTTCCTATAGCTGTTATAGCTCTAGCTATTGGCACGGGACTTGGTTGGGCAACATCACTTAATAAAGCTGAAGATGTACATAATGCTACTTTTATTATCAAAGCTTATGCACCCGTATTTCCAATTAAAGCTATATTTTCACATATGAATCAAATTGGACCATATTTATCGACAACTATTCCGACAGCTATTTCAATTGCTATTGGTACAATACAATGTGTTGAATCAGCAAAACGAGCAGGAGATTTCTATCCAACTCGTGAATCAATGTTTGCCGATGGAATAGGTACTATTATTGCAAGTTTATTTGGATCTTTTTTAGGCATGACAAGTAAGTTATACTTTGAATATCATATACAATCATTTTATTTATTATTATTCAGCATATATTGGTCATCCAGCATATAAAAAAATGGGTGCAAGACAAGCTTATTCTATTATTAATTGTCTTATTTATGTACCTTTATGTTTTTTTGGTATTATTGCTCTTTTTCTTAGAACTATTGCCGTAGTTGCTGTCAATCCAGTTATTGTACGTTATTTAACAAAATTGAGATGAGAGAGAAATGGAACGAAATATTTTTTTTAATCTATAGATATTTATTGGACTATTTATATGTGCAGAAACTCTTGCCATTACACCACAACGTCATTATCCAGCTTTTCTTCTTGGTATAATGCCTGTTATAGCTGATTGGGCACGAACTACTATAATTAATGGTGTTGTATCTGCCTATTCGAAATTGAACATATCTAATGTAGATTTTACACAAAATATTACATCTCAAATAAATGATTTTTCTTATCGTGGTCTTGAGAATTTTGCTGGTGGAAGTCTTCTACAATGTATTTTTATTACAGCTATTATGATGTATATGATCGATCGAAAATTTATTCAAGCAGCTATTTGGTCCTTAATAGCAGGTCTTCTTTCATTTTTCGGTTTAATACATGCAACAACTGTAAGAATTTTATATCGAACAACTGATGATGGGTGGCAATTTACTGTAGCATATGTTATGACAGCATTTATTTTTCTTTTATTCGAAATAGCACAACGATATGGATGGGTACAAGAACCTGAAACTGAACCTGATGATTTATCATCGGAAGAATGGATTGAATGGAATAGAAATAAGATTTCAATTCAAACTTATGTAGACAATACAACACTCTAAGTAAAAATTGTCTACTTTTTTTTTTATTGATAGATATATATTCTAGTATAATATTTTTAATACACGTTAAAAAGAAAATAATTCAATATTTTTTTTTTAAGTTGATGATTGATAGACATTGTATGACACTCTGACATATAAGACACTTCCTTTCTTCTATAAATTTTTAAACTATCGGGGAACCTGAATGTTTGTTTATTTAAAAGTACCCTTCAGGTAATCATTTTTTATTCAGTTACAATGACGTTGTTTGCTTATATAATCACTCATAGCCATTTCTATGAATCCTGTTAAGAATATTCACAATCGAAATAAACAGAATATGAGTCAAGATTTTCTATGACAACAGAAAAATATTTACTAATACAGAATATCAAATAATTGCCAAAGAGCTTTCAAATTTTTATTAAATGAATTATTACAAAAAAGAAAAAAAAAGAAACTATAATAAAAGTATTTAAAATGAACATTATTTTCAAAATAATTATTCTTTTGGTATAATTATTATGTCCAATTCCATGTAGATAAACGTTGTTCAGGATTACTTCGTTTTTCTATACATAAAAATTATTAAAATATAATTCATTATTATCATTATTATAACTTACTTTTATTTATAATAGATTTTTTCTGTTTAATCGTAGTTTTTTTCGTGGTTGACGAAGGAGTATGTTTTTTTGTGGTAGTTGTACGAGATTTTTTATCTGATACAGATAATTTTATATTTTTGCTTTTTACCAATAGATGAGTATTCTTATTTGATGCCGTTGGATTAGTACGTAGTTTTACTATTGATGCAGAATTTTTAGATGTGACACGATTTTTTTGTGGTGTGTGAATTGGTTTTGAATTTTTCGCGTTTTTCACATGTGGAGTAGTATGTTTTGTTGATGTAGAGTTTGAATGATTATGTGTCTTATTAATTTTTGTGTTTTTTGATGATTTTATTGCAGCACCATTTACTGATAATATTGTGATGAGTAGAATTGTCTGAATTGAAGAAAAAAATGAATTGAAATGAATATAAATTATAACACTTACTAAAGATATAATGATTATCGATTGCATGATAGGAATGTTTTTTCTTCCTTTTTGATTATTATTAACGAGAATGTTTTTATCGGATTATAATCGGGAGCTTTTATACCATCTGATCTCTTTTAAAAGAAAAATGTCTCGTGCTCCTGATTTTGCCTCCTACATGGGTTTTTTTTCTTCTTCTCCTCCTCCTTTCTTTCCGTTTATTTAATTATTAAAAGTGATCTACGTTTTATTTCACGCTGTCGATTATTCATCGATTATTTTGAAAATTCTTTTTGATTATGTGTCACACACACACGCACACACGTTCTGTGATTCTTTCGTTATTAATCAATTGTAACAAAAATGAAATAAGTTTTTTGTCAAAGTTACATATATTCTTATATGATTTCATCTGATTGATAAAAATATAAAAGAATTTTTTTTTTGACAAACATACTAATTTTGCCCTCAATGTTCGATTTTTGTTAAAAGTACTTTTCAAATTAACAACGCATATATTTTATTCCAGCATTGTCAATATTAGTTAATTATTAAGTTGTGTGATAGATGTCTATGACCTTTTTTTTTAAATTTTACATTTCGTTCTCTATATTAACACAATAACTCTATACAAAAATTACTTCTTCAAATTTCAACTGTTTGGTTACCTATGAATATAGATGTAAGTAGATATGATTTGCATTAAGTGAAGGTTCATTTATGTTCTTTCTAGAAGGACTGATTATATTCGATGAGTATATGCAAAAATTAATACTATATACATATTATAGTTTGAATATTGACAAAAGATTATTTTTATGAAAGAAAAAAAAAAGGAAGCTAGTTGCACTTTTGACTTTAAAAGAAATCAATCGCAATTCATTCCGTATACTCGAACTTTAAAATGCTACCATTTAAAAAGAAAAAAATAATACGAATTTTAAAACTTTCAAAAATCATATTTTTTGAAAATTTCTTCGGGGGATAAAGTTCATGGAAAGAGAAAACAATTTTCAAGTGCATGACGTTTGAGTAAAGTATTGACGAAATATGTGTCTAACACCTCGAAAACATCCATTCATAGGAAGTAATTATATTCCTTCATGATTTTCAATAGAATCTATTTTTTAAAATAATTATAGTCCTGATATATACGGTTTTTGTACTGAATAGCTGTTCTATTATGAATAGAAAAAAAGCAGCTTTTAATATATCAAAAATATAGGTTTTATCTATGCAAATATTCTTCCTTTGGCATCAGTTTGTATGTATCGTAAAGTATAATTATATTCTTACTGTATTTGAAATATTTCATGATAATTTTTATTTTTATCTTGGGTACTTCTTAATATTAGAATTCTAAAATATGAAACCATGATAATGTCATTTTTATTTGTTTTTTTCTTTATTATATATGGTTTCATATGAAATAAATGTTCTATAAGAATAATATTAAAGGACAAAGGAAGAAAGGATCAAATTCAATACATTTTTTAAGAAAATATATTGACTGTAAAAAGATTAACATTTAATTAATATTATTCTCAAGAAGATTTTTATATGTGTATATTATGGTGCGATGAGAGTATTAGAACCGGCATTGTCAATAGAATATTCGAGTCAATACCAAGTGCAATACTCAAATCAAATACCACTTACGACTATATTGATATGATCCATGTTCATGAAATCTCAGTTAGTAACAAGAGGTTCTAAATATACGGCTCTTCTCCTACCAGCTGAGATTAGACAAACAGATTCATATATCTATAAATAAAATAAATTCATACTTACTTTTATTTTTCGAGAAATCTATGTGCATATATATATTACTTCCATCTTTTATATACTGTACCAATTTATCTATCACTATCATTGTTTAAGTTTCGCTTCAATTGTATACTCTAACTGAATTACAAGACACACTGTTCTGTATTGTTTTTATCATGCTTAACAGATACGCGACATATATATCTGAAATTATATGATATTAATTAAATTTTATCAAACAAAAGAAAAAAAGAAATAGATTGAAAAGTAACTAATCTATACCATATATATCAAATGATAACTATCATTGAGAACAATTGTAATTGATTACATATGAATATTATTAAATAAATCTAATCTATATTGATCAATACCTGTTTGTTTGTATATAGTATAAACGAATCTATTATTCGAATGAAATATGTGTTTATTATAAAAGAAAAATGTGGATAGTAATAAAATAACGTTTGGTTTCTTTGTTTAGTTTTTATTTATATTATAACAAAACGAAGACAGATGAATTGAATGGCATCAGCTTGATATGACGTGAAATGTATTGAGAAGAAAAAAAGTTTAGACCTTGTATAATTTAAATCAATGATCAATATAGATTCGGAATTTCTATCATATATATTCAAGAGTTATCTTATTGGTTATATTTAAATCGGAATTACAATCAATTGATACATATATACCATTTCTTTTTTTTTCTCTAAGTTTGATATAAGGTGACATTTTTTTCAAGACTAGAACTGATGAAAACTATTTATTCAATGTAACATAACAAGCTATTGAAATAGTTATAATTACAGTATTTCATTTACAAAAAAAAAATGAATTAATCAGCAATTACAATCTAATCTTAAGTTAGAAAAATCATGACTTATTCTAAGATGGTTTTAATTAATTTCTATTCTATTTAATCTTTATATTCGATCGTGTGCAACTCAGTATAATTGATTGCCTATAATAATTCAAAGGAAATTCTAATCAGATAACTTTCATCTTCTTTTATGTTAATCATTATATTCATCATAAGCCTACTCATTATTTTCTACAGAGTAAATCATGTATATATCTATTTGTGTAGGAGATAATCAAAGTATATTCAATTCTCGAGAAGAGAAACTACCTCGCAGATTCATATATATATATATAAGACATAAATTCAAGAATAAAATTTTCTTTTTACTTATCACCTATACGTTGAACATTTACTATAAATATGAATACTTCATATCGAAATTTATTTGCTCTATTCGTATTGATGGTTTATCTTGAATCAGCAATGGTATGTAATACAATATATATTTCATTCTTATCTTTTTTTTGTTTATTAGTCTTATCCTTCATCATATATAAATGAACAACGCAGTTTTCTTCGTTGTCAAATATCTCCAGTATCATGCAAACGTAGTTTATCTACGTTAGAAGAAAATGGAAATCCATCAATTATAAATCATAGAAATGATTTTCAAGAATGTATTAGTCAAAATAAACCTATATGGTACTGTCTCAAACATGCACCAACATTCCCACTTGACGACATGAACCAAAATAATTAAAAATAAATGTATCATTCATCATTATTAATATTATACATTTTTTTTCTTATTTGTTGTTTTAAAACATGGCCAAAAGACCATACTTATACCAGAAAGAATTATAATAAAACCTGATGTAAGAAAAGGAAGTTTATATGTACGAGTAACATCACGTAATAAACCTAAAAATAAAAAAAAAAAAAATTTTAAATATGAATTCTTTTCAAATTTATATATTTACCTTGAAGTGGTATACCAATAAGTGTACTTATACCTTGACAAAATTGTAATATACCAAAAGCATTTGACATATTATCTATTGATACAGCATCAATAAGAATAAGCATTTGTAAAGCATAATTAGCACTAATTGTTAAGCCATACATAAATCCACAAAGAAGAATAATGGATTTGTAATGAAATAGAGGAAGAATAATTAATGATATACCAGATATAATAACTGCAAGTGTATACATAATCCAAGCGGGAAATATTTTTCGATCATGTAAATAACCAAGTAAAATTTGTCCAACAGCTGATGCAATACCAACATTAGATAATATCCATGATCCTAAATAATTTTCATTGCGAAATGTTTCAGAAATATATCTTGGTATAATAACATATGGAACACCCATCACAAGACATAAAGTAAAATTTGATAAACAAAAAAGAAGAAATCGACTATTGAGTAACCAATGTTTTTCATTGGAAGATTTTTCTAATTGATCATCTATTTGTTCTAATGGTACTGATGGAACTGAGAAAGATAATAATGATGATGATGGTGATAATGATTTTTTTTCTTCATCAATATTTTCTTCAGATGAAGCGATAGGTGCAAGTGGAAGTGGTCGAGCAGATGGATAAATTCGTTCGAGAGATCCATCAAATTTTCGTATAGTTGGAAGTGGAACAGCAATAGTTTTAGCTCGAGTTCTTTGAAAATCTGTTATAGTTGTAGAACGATTTGATAAAGGTTCTGTACAAACAGTAAAATTACGTGGACGAGTATTTGATGAGTGTGGACTAACAGTCATTGATTCAATAGAAGGAATAGTAATACCAGCACGAACAGGTACTGTAGAGATAAAAAGTGGCAATACTTGAGCAATAGTCATACCACGAGAACGACGAGGTTGTGATGGTGCAATTGATGGTTCATCTTCTCGTGAAAATTCATTATTCACTGTTATAGTTGTTAAAGGATTAGTTGAAATTTCATTCATTTCTATTTTAGGAAGAGATGAACGAGCAGAAGTAGTTGATTGTCGAAATGCAAATACTGATATAAGCATAAAGAGAAAGAGAGTTCCTAAAAAAAAAGAAAATTTTACATGATCATCTTTACTTAAATCCGAATGACATATTAATCATGTCTTTTGCTCTTTTATAACACAAAATAAATAACATATTATTATAAATTTTAATCTACCTGTTATGAATGATGCATTACGCCATCCATATTCAATAATACATGCTTTAATAATAATTGATAAAGCTACTTGACCAAATCCACTTCCTGATACAGCTAATCCAGTTGCTAAACCTCGATCATTTTCAAAATAGAACGGTAAAGTTAAATAAGCAGGTACATAACAAAATGCAAGTCCAACACTTAATAAACATCCATAACCTATAGCTGGTATCCAAAATGTTTTATTAAATTGAAAAATAAATGGAAAACAATATCCAATAAATGAGAGAATACAACCAATCAATGATGCTGAACTAGCACCAAATTTTGTTGTCCACCAACATACAAATGGACTTAGAAGAAGAGGTACAGATTGTGTAAGTGCAGCAATAGTACTTACACTTAACACAGTATTTGATTTTGTTTCTGAATATTCACGAATAAGTTCATCAACATAGAGTCCGAAGGAAAATGTTACACCATCAGCAAGAAAATAAACAAGAAAAGCAGCAAAAACAATAAAAATTTGTTTTGAAGACCATGTACGTAAACGATGAACAATATTCGATGACATTATTTAGAAATAAAACAATAAAGAAGAAAAAAAAAGAATCTGTTTTAGTGTTGAATGGACAAAGCAAATAGAATTAGAGCCTAAGATAAATCTTGAGTCAATAATGAATTGATAAAATGAGTGAAAAGAAAAGAGAAAAAAAAAAGGTTAGACAAGAACAATGAGTAAAAGGTTGTGCGTGTTTGTTTTTAATAGAATCGTTATATATTGTTTTATTTTAGTTTATTTTATTTTTATTTATCATCAGAAAATTAGATTGTCTCTTATTTCTCTCACAGGCACACACACATTATTTAAGTTGATAATGAAGTAAACCAGCAACAGCTGATTGAAAACCAGCATTATAATCTGTTGCAACTTCATTTTTAATATAATCACCACGATTATCTTCATAGTTGTCATTTCTATCTGGTCCACCAACTAAAGCACCAATTAATACTTGAGGATTAGGTGAAGGACTATTGTAAGAATTCCAATCACATGATGCTGGTCGAGAAGGACATGAACTAAATAAATGAAAATAAACATAGATATATATATATATATTAATGATAAATTACCTTGATCGATGATGAGGTCGTTGAGGATAATTTTCACCAAAACCAATAAGATATGATCGTCCTGAATCACCTAATATGTAATTAATTTGTCGAGAAGCAAAATCGACATATTCTTGAGTATTAATACCAATTTCAGCAGCCTATAAAATAGAGAGATTCAATTTAATTTTTTTTTTGTATTCATCTAATTCTTACTTGTAAACAAATAAAAGCAACGTTACCGGCATGACGAAGTGCTCCCCATTGATCCATAAACACAAGACCTTTTGGTGTTTTTGGAGCTTGACGTACGATATGATTACAAAATGACTCAGCTTGTTGACGATAATTTGTTTGTTGTGTAATTTTAGCCATAAGTACTTGAACACCTGCTAATTTATTATCCCAATCAAATCCAGTTGCTTGTCTATTTAAACCAAATTCCATATAATGTTTTTCAACTTCTAATTGATAACGATGTTCACCAGTAGCACGTAATAACCAAGCAGCAGACCATCCTAATTCATCACCATAACCTGACCATGATTTATAGAAATCAGCTGCATTTGATATAGAATTTGAATATGAACCACGATTTTCATTAGCAAAATCATATAATTGTCGAGCATGTTTTAATAATAATGATGCATATGCTGGATCAGCTTTACGAAAAACAATTGAAGCAGCAGCAAGTGCAGCAGCTGTTTCGCCGACTAATTCAGAGCCAGGATTTCCTGCAGTTACTTTCCAGGCTGGTCGAGATTGTGTCCAATCTTCTGGTCGTGACCAAGATGCATGATCTGCATGTCCATCACCGACTTGTCCATAAAATTCACGTTCGCTTACGTGTGCCTATATAAAAAGAAAAAAAAAAGAAAATACAATACTTGAAAATTGATTTCGTATCATATTTCATTTTTAAATGAAATAGATTACAATAATCAATCATATCTTTTTTCAATAGTTTCACTGAAATCGATATGAATGATGATAATTTCTAAAACTAACTAACCTTAATAAAATAATCAGTTGACCAACGAATTGCTTGACGAATTTGATTAATTTCACCTGATGCAATATATGCATCTTCATAATCAATAGCACCCCATGCTAATACTGTTGTAAATCCAGCCATTGGAAAACCAAATTTAACGTAGTCACCAGCGTCAAAATATCCACCTGTTAAATCTTCTCCCTTGTCACCTTTATCCATTAACATTGAATCACCTCGCCAACTAACACGATTATCAGCGGGAAGTTTACCAGCTCGTTGAGCCTCGTAAAAGAGAAGTGAAGCATGAAGAACACTTGCATAATTGTATTTGCTATTTGCTACTGGTACAATTGTTGCTCCCGTTGAATTTGCTACTTGTGTTGGCGTCATACTTGGTAATGGTGCTGCGGTTGTACTTGATATTGGTGCTTCTGTTTCAAACGTTGGTGTACTTCCTGTTGGATTAAACGTTGGACTAAACGTTGATGTACTTCCTGTTGGATTTGTAGTTACTTCAGGAACGACAACGCTACCAGAACCCATATTAATTGGTTGACCATTGAATAAGACACCGACAAGATCTCGTGGTGTAACACCACCACTAGCAACAAATTCAAAACGAAATTCAGAGCCTCTTGACAACTGTGCATTCCAATCTTTATTCTTATAAGTAAATATTTGATTATTGATTTGTGATTCAAGATCACCTAACCATGCCTAGAATAGATGAGTCAGATAGTAAGAAAAGTAGGAATATATATATATATATTTTGTTTTGAACGTACATCAAGATTTACTGCATGATTAAATTGAAGTATGAGTTTCCAACCACTAGTAATTTCACTTGTCACTGGAATTACTAGAGCTCCTTGAAACCCACCTGACCATTCATTGGCTACTTCCAATCTTCCATAAGTTATGCCAATTGCAAGCGTAAGAAAAATGACTATACACTTAAACTAAAAAACAATTTTAAAATAAGACAACTTTTTGAAATACTCCAAAACTTACCATTATTGCCTGTAATCATATAAGACTGTCAACAACAATTATATATATATATTACTCTTAATCTCTTATAATTGATTTCTGCACTTACGTTAGTGCAAAACATATCATTTTACAGATTGCACTTTATGTTTTGGGTATTCTATGATCCCCCCATATCAACATGACAAGCTACCTACACAATGGCACGATTAGAGAGAAGCGATTCTCTATTAATAACTAGCATCAAAATCAGGAATCGGTCGCTCCGATCTCGATTTCAATACATTTCTAATACATTTCATAAAAATTACTTTTTTTTAGATCAAGTTCATTTTTTAATGTAAATTCTGCCTTTTTTTGTAAAATATTGAATTTCTGAATAACAATAAAATTATAAAGCAGCAGATATATGTTGTATCGGTATGAAAGAATTGTAATCTTTTAAGTCCTCTTATACCACGTGATGTACTTTTTTTCCATACATTATTTATGTAAAATAATAAAATAATAAAAAGATGAATCAATTGATTTTCTGTCAACATAATTTTTATTGATTAAATATTAAAAAAAAGAATAACGTAAAAGAAAGAAAGAAGCAAGAATATAAGCATTTGTATGAATTTTATGTCTACATCAAATAAAAATAAGATGAAACACGGACATCGAGAATTTTCAACATCACCACTACCATATGTAATTGATGAGATCAATAGAAATTCTCGTACGGTTCATTATGAAGTAAGAGATAAAAAAAACAAGAGTAGTATGTAAAAGTTCGTTTAATAATATCATAGCGACCACCAACAGCAATGGGCTCGACAGGACGACGTCCAGTAGAAGAAAATCGACGTCTTCTATTAGAAAACGACATGTCTGATGCACGTAAACAAGGTTTAAGAGTATGCCGTTTGTGGCAATTATTATTAACACTGAATGTGATTATCATTTTAACAGCAATTATACTTATACTCTTACTTCTTTTCATCATTGGACCTCTTTGTAAGTTGAATTCAATTGAAAGCATATATTTTCTAGATATTTATTAATTATTTTTAGTTCCTTATCAAACATATGGTCAATCTTGTCGTACAGCATCATGTAATCAAGCTTCTGGACTTATCTGTAGTACAAACTCTATCTGTTTATGTCCACCATCGAATTCATATTGGTCATATATTGAGACAGGCTGTCGTATGTAACATATTATTATTTAAAATTTAAAGAGAATATTATTCTAATTTAGGTATTTGCCCAAATGGATGGTCTTCTATAAATGGTAAATGTATTTTTATTTCAACATTTTATTTAAATTGGACAGATGCATTTGATTATTGTCAATCATTTACTGCTCAATTATTAACATTATCACCAATGAAATTATATTCAAGTTTAACATTATCTCAAATAAATAATTCAGTTTTATCCAATACAAATTATTTCATTGGATTGTCTGAACAACCTAGTAATTCTGGTGAGTATGTTTTTTTGTATACTATGATTATCATTCTTAATTACATTTATTTTAGGTAATTGGCAATGGGTAGATGGAAGTTCATTAGATTCATCAATGACGAACTTATTTTGTACAAATGGTTCAGTTAATCAATTTGATACTATTTTTCGTACATATATGAATTGTGTAATCTATCGTATGGATTCATGTTTAGCTCGTTCGACATGTCAACGAGTAGATATGAATTTTATTTGTGAAAAAAGTAAGATAAATATATTTTTAACTTTACTTAATTTTATTTCATTATTTTAGTTTGATAAAGATTTATTTTTTAAATAAAAAGAATATATCATTCATTGTAAGCAGCTTTGTTTTTTTTATTCAATGTAATTCTATTTTAGATGGGTTCTGAATTACTTAATTTAACAAAATTTTTGGATGATGAAAAAAAAGATAATCTTGTTGTTTATGAAGTAAATATTTTCTTTCTTTTTCTGTTGATCAAATTAAAAGTTATTTGAATAGTTAGAATTTAATAAAATTGATAATCCAAATGAAAAACTTCGTATTCATGCTAAATCACAAGGACGATGTGCATGTCGATTATGGTTAATTTTATTTTTAGTGAATTTTGCCATAATTACTCTCTTTATATTTTTACTTCTCTTATTATTAATTGAAGTTGGCCCTGCGCGTAAGTCATTCAACAGATACATCTTAATATAATGTATATATTTAGCTCCATATCAAACCTATGGTAAACAATGTGCTGTTGGTATATGTGATTCAACAAAAGGATTAGAATGTCGAGAAAATAGTGGATCTAAGATATGTCAATGTCCATCAGACAATTGGTTTTGGTATAATAATGCTAAATGTCGTATGTTGATTGTTTGAAAAACAATCAGTTTTATTTTATTTTTCTTTCAAATAAAATAAGGTGAATGTCCATCAAATTGGATTGTTAGTAATAATGGTACTGGTTGTTATTTTGTATCATCTATACAATTAAATTTTGTTGACGCTAATCTATGGTGTATGAAAAGTCAAGGTCGTCTTATTGAAATTTCAAATCAAAATATTTTTCTAACATTACAATTAATACAAGATTTTCATTTTAATTTAAATTATTTTTATTGGATTGGTTTACGTGAAATTGGTCCAAATAAAAGTTTTTATTTTTATTTACATATTACAATAGAATTCAAATATTTTTTTTTCGTAGATATTTATCGTTGGATCACATCCCAAACACTATTTTCTAATTCGAATTATTTTTGTGCAGGTCAACCATTACATACATATAATTATTATTTTCAAGAATATGATCAATGTATTGGTTTATATATTCAATCAAATACATCATCATGTTTACGTGATTCAACTTGTGACAATGTATCCCCATTTATATGTGAATTATGTTCGTATATGATATAAATTTAATAAAATATATATTTTATTTTCAATAGATTAACAACAACTACGTGATTCAAAGATTTTTATTGGATATATAATGAGAGAATTTTTGATGTATTGTTATTTAACTATTGATCAATAGAAAGTGATATTTTCAATAAAATATATTGTGAAGAAAATAATAAGTATTCTATTCTATATTTAACTAATTGTTGGGTTGTTTGACACATATCCACAAGGTACTGTGTATAAACCTTAGTAACATCGTCCATGGAATGACCCTGAACAAGTCATTGATGCTGGAGAGAAGATTGTGGAGATACCGCCGTCTGTAAAAAAGAAAATCGAAAGAACCCGGATGTAAATGAAAACTATTGAATAATAACTACGACCGACCCCCACAGTCGATAAGCTGCGGGACGTTATTATTATTATGTATATTAGATTATATTATATATATCTATTATATATATTACATTATATCTTTATAGTATTCGTGACAGAAGCAACAGCAAGATTCTCATTCTGTTTCCTTCAAGTTAATTCATGCTCAAGATTCAGCGAGAAATATTTTCTTATAAATGCACTTCATATTACCAAGAAAGAAAAAAAACTTAGTTTTCTTTATAGTCTCGTTTTTCTACCACTATCTTTATGTAATTTACATTGACGAACGTATGCAAATACATTCTTATTTCCCTTGATATCCATTATGACATTTCTAACCATATAGTCTTAATCAATAAAATGATGATAAACAATAATACAACAGTAGAAATATGTATTAGTAATGTTACTTATGATAAACTATTTCATATATCCAGTAGTATATGGCATGTATTTGGTTTTATTGGTGTCTTATTTGGTATACCTGGTCATATTTTACAAATAATTATTTCATTCAATAAAACTAGTCGAAAAGATCCAACTTCATTGTATTTTATTGCTATGTCAATAGTTGACATAGTCTTTCTTTTAGGTTTGTATGAGTTTTATTCCTAAAACACAGTAGATTATTGTTCAACAACAGTTTTTGTCTTAGATAGAAAATTCCGACTTTGAGACTGTAAATACTTTGGATAGATACATAGAAAATGTGAATTAGTTTTATAGTACTCTGATTTCTATCCTAATAGGTTTATTTTGGTTATGGTGTGTAAATATGTCACTTATTAAAACTGATCCTCGAGAATTTTTATCATGTGGAATTTTTTATAGTATTATAGTTGGTTCGACAACATTATCACATCTTTATCTAGCATCATTAGCTACTGATCGGAGTATAATAGTTATTTATCCAACTCGTTATCATTTAATAGTTACACGATCTCATGTTATATTACGTATTTTATTAATTACTTTCATAATGATTTTACTATCAATTCCTCATCAATTTTATTTCCATTATGAACCACGAGTAACACTTTTTCTTTGTGATTTTCGTTCATCTCTTTATCATCGAAAAGTACGTGTATGGTCATTCATACATGCAATACTTCTTGTAGGTATTCCAACATTAATTGTATGTATATGTTCAGCAATTTTATTACATAATCGATGTAAACATAAACGAACTTATAAAAATAATTTAAGCGCAAATGCTCGTCGTATGCATAGACATTCTATATTACTTTTTGTTTATTCACTTGGTTTATTTTTATCTATATTACCTGGATGTATTTTAGAAATTTTTATTGTACATGACCGACTTTTTTATCATAATATGCACTGTTCAGTACGATGGAAGATTTATAGAATTTTACTTAATTGTTTTTTAACACTTTCATCAATTAATTATTCTAATAAGTTTTATATTCATCTTACAATATCAACTACATTTCGAAATGGTTTTATCCAATTGATTACTTGCAAATCGAATCAAAAGTCGACTAAATCAATAACAATGAAGGAAGGAAATAATAATGAACAATATTTACTTTCACCACTAAATCAAACAAAAACTATAGATATTTAATTTGTTGTAGATTTTTTTGAAAGTTATCAAAAATAGTTAACAATGTTTGAATATTTTATGCATAAGTATCTCAATTGAGCATGAGCTGTCAGCTTATAGTAGAATACATATATCATATTAATAATAGAATAAGCATACATTTGTATTCTATGTTACGATCTTTTTAATTAAGTAAAGAAATAGGTGAATGAATGATTGATATCGTAAAATTAATCTTTGACACATCTTATGTGTCACACAATGAGCTCTACGTGGTTTTTGAGGGTTTAAAGAATTAAATGAATATAGTTAATTTTTCTCTTTATTTGTTCTAAATCTATTAATGTAAACAAGTACAACTCTGAGTAGATTATATATATATATATTTAGCTTATCTTGTATATGGGTTTATGACTGTTGAGTTGAGCGTAGATATACTATTTATTTCACGTCCATTCATAACCAAAATCTAGTTGAAATCAGACACCTATATTCAGGTTAGCTCGAATATATACCTAGTGCTACTGACATCCAATTAATTGGTACCGATGCAGATCTAAATAATAATAATAGAATATTTTATAGGATTCACATTTCACTGTATTTTACAATTATATCAATATATAAAGGACATACAGTCAATTAAATTTAGTTAGTTTAATCTTTAACATACAAAGGAAAACTCCAATACTCGTCTATTTATAAGAAGAATATATCTCGTGTCAACTTCATTTTATTTACTGTTTTTCTGTCAGAAGAAATAGATATTTTAAATATGTTCTCATTTTTAAAAAAAATCCAGATAATGAAAAACAACAATTAATGAAAGAGTATTTTGTAACGACGTTTCTAATGAGTAGAAACAAATGTGAAACAATAAGTTAATCTTTGAAGAACATATGACTAGATCTTACTATTCTATTTTTTTATGTTAGATGATTTCAACACAATCATTCAATCATCAACCTTGATTTAAACGAGAAATACAATTCATATTCAATCAATACTGACTTGATTAGAGTTCTATGATACTCAATGCCGATTGGATAACATTTGAATACTTATACCAATGCATTGTGAAACTAATATGATCGTCTATTATATTAATATAAAAATGTTATTCTTTCCGCACTGAAACAATCAAATAGAAAAAGAATATTTACTCATAACTTTCAGTTAAAAAGAATTCTTTTAATTGTCTATCGATGTATTCTTCTTCTATTACGTGTAAATATCACAGATATTAATTATACTTTGGATATTATTCATTAGTATTAAACTATTGAATAAACATTGAAATTTTATATTAATTGATATACTATAACAATTCTTGCACAAAAACATAACCTCTTTCATCATGATGACTAAATATCTCTAATACGTATAAAATCATTCTTAAATATCTAGCTGAAATTATTTGTATCTTTTTCCAATATTAATGAAATAAACAATTGTCTTTACTTGAGTAATGTAACATATAAAATCTGAAAAAACTATTTTATTCTTATTTAACTAAAAAATATCTTATAAGTAACAATTTGATGACGTTCATTGAGCAAAAACAACATAGAAGAACGTGATAAAATAAAGTCCTGACAAAATGAATTATTTAGAGAATATATTTGACTGACGTTAATCATCTATTTATCATAGAAATTGATATTTTATTTTAATTTTAATCACGTCTAAATATTAGCACAATGTCTAGCAAGAATTATTCTTTTTTTATCACGTCTTTTATTTAAAAAAACATTTTCAAATGAAATTCATTGTTAAATAACTGAATTTATAATGATATTTTCTTTTTCAAAATAATATTCCTATCAGATTCAAAATAAAATCATGTGAAGAGTTATAAAATAAATCTAAACAGTAATAATCAAAATTATTAATAAAGATTCGTCTCTTGAAATATATCATTGTTTTCTAGATGATATTTGTAAATCATGAGAATAGAAGAAAAGAGAGATATAAATAATAAAGAAATAGTTTCACTTGTTTTTCTCGAGCAAGAATATTAATTGTCTAGTTGATTATAACAATTTTACTTTTCTTTATCATTGATGAACATAAAACAAAAAATATCGTCTAATATGATGACGAAGAACAATTACAACATTTTCATCATGTTGCTGTTGGTTATGATCGATCAAATATCAGGTAATCATTATTATTATTTATCAATCATCTCTTTTTATTGTTTTTTAATTTAAAATGATCTGAATTAGACTGAAGAGAATTAATCGATCTATTCCTAGATTTTCACAAAAACTATTGAATAAAGATTGTTGAGAATAATCCATTCGATCAGTTAGATTTCTTCAAGTAAAGCATTTTGTTTACATCGAGAGAGCCTGCCGGTTAGACTCGAGCGATAGTGCTAATCTCTCTGATGGTTTGACATGACTTTTCGAAGTTTGCGTTCAATGACATCTAATCAAAGTAAAATTTAGTTATAACTTACTTCCTATGAAATAGTCGTTTAGATCGCTTTAAGATACATCAAATGTGCTAATTAAAGACATAAATAAGCAACAAAGAATAAGAAGAAATGTGGTTCACCTATGGTTTTGAAAGATATTTAATGAAATCGTGTTTTGTTACACAATACAAGTTCATTTGATAAATGTGTAAATAAGTGCTGAATAGAATAAATAATGATAAGAATTATATTAAGTTTGTAAATAAAAGCCTCAAATCTATTAGTTAGTAACAGAATTTGACAGTGTGAATGTGAGTATTTTATTTTATTCGTACCCACATCTACACCCACACCCTCTAAAAAGACATAGTAAATAGTATAGAGATACACAAATATAGATTTAGATTAAAGTTAGTGTGACAAGTATAGAAGTATAGATGATTAGACGTGGAAGTATCTTGATAAAGGTACAACAATAAGAATATAGTTGTAGAACGTTTAAGGGGACGAAAGCTAAAAACATCTAATAGAATTCATGGCTGTATGTTTTGATATTGAACGAGAAGAGTGTATTATTCAATAATTGATTTTCAAGAGGATAATCAAACGTTATTATCTTGAATTTTTCTGATAGATGATCAATTGATTCGATTTAAACAAAGATGAAAATAGAAAATGTAACAAAATATTCTATAAAGCTGTCAAATGAGAATTTTTTATTTGATGAAATCAAATTTTTTCTAAAATATTAATTATTTTGATGACTAAGTCAAACTGACTATGTTCTGTAAATGAATTATTTTAAAATGTGTTTATTTTTTCAGAAAAATATTTGTTTGAAGAGGCAAATTATTTCGAGAAAATTTTTATCTGAAACTTATCATTTTAGCATCTTCATTTAATCAGCCAAAGTTTTGTTCAACACCAGCTTGGAATCCTTTTGGAATTACTTTTGCTAATGAAACAACTATTGGGCGTTTTCCTTGTGCCATTTTTATTAATATAAACAATACAATTTATACAGTTAATTTGGAGACGGAACAAATCTTAATGTGGATTAACAATAGTATCAATCCAAACAAAATTATTCCTTCCAATTTCAGTAATTCAAATTCCATATTTGTTACAAATAATGGTGATATTTATTATGATAATGGTGAAAAGAACGGTCGAGTTGCTAAATGGATATCAAATACAAATACTTCTGTTAATGTTATGAATGTTGATTCATCATGTTTTGGTATCTTTATCGATATTAATGATACTTTATATTGTTCAATGTCTGGTGAACATCAAGTTATCAAAAGATGGTTAAATGATAGTGAAATGATACCAACAACTGCAGCGGGATCGGGTATTCGTGGTTCTGGTTCGAATGAACTTTCTTATCCTTACGGTATCTTTGTTGATTTAAACTTTGATTTATATGTGGCAGATTCTGAAAATCATCGAATTCAACTATTTAAACACGGAGGATTAAATGGAACAACAATAGTTGGACAAAGATCATCAAATAACATGATTTCACTCGATTGTCCATCTGGAATTGTATTAGATGCTGATAAATATCTTTTTATTGTCGATCAACATAATCATCGTATAATTCGATCAGGACCAAATGATATTCGATGTATAATTGGATGTAATGGAAGAGGATCACAATCCCATCAATTATCATATTCAGCAACTCTTAGTTTCGATAGTTATGGAAACATATTTATCACTGACTTAAAAAATCATCGCATTCAAAAATTTGACTTCTTATTAGATTCTTGTGGTAAGTTTAAAATAATTCATTAAGAGAAAAAAATCGTTGAAAAATCTTAATCTCCTTTTAAAGTAAGATTAATGAGAATATCCTTCTTCGTCTTTTTTTGTTTTGTTAAATAAAAATTCTATTTGAGATTTTCTAATTGAATGGATTTTTAACTTAAAATCATTTGAAATGTCGATGGAGAAAGTCAGATGAACTTTTCTCGAATAGATAAATAATTTTAATCAAAAAATAAATCTGTTTTCCATTGAATTGCCATCGAAATGAAGTGATATACTTATTCATTCGTTGCATTCAATGAAGATTTATAAAAAAATTCATTTTTAAACAATTGTGTATCTATGGAATATTGTGATAGAAATGAAAATTAGTTGTAAAAGATTACATCTCTTCAAAGATACTTTGAATCTTTTTTATTTCTACATAAAAGAAAATTTCCTCCTGTATTTTTATCGATTTATGATTAGAAAAAAAAGGTTCTCAGGAAAGTTACGATTGGGTGAAATAGTTGTTTTACTCGAAGATTATTTCAGATAAAATTAAATCTTTTATGCTTTCGAAATGTTTATCATTTTCTCATCAGAAATATTGAAGATTTTCAACGAATTTTTAAGAAGAAAAATGATAAACGAATATTTCTTCAATTACATCAGAAAAACAAATCCAAAGACTTTGGAAAACATTAACAACATTTATGAGAGAAATCAATTGAAAAAAACGGTGTTCATTTTCGGAAATAACTGAATAAAGATCATTTCTGTGTCATATTCGACTAGAATTTGTATTCTTTGAATCTGATTAGATCTTCTTTTCTTGTATTTATATTTATCGTGTCACTGAAGAAAAGTAGTTCGCCTTATTCTTGGAAATAACCCTCAATGTGATCGATAAAACTTTACAAAATACATCTCAAAATGAAAGTCAATGTACTTTTTCTGGCGTTTTATCGTTAATAAGACTTCTTTGACTTACATCTTCTCCAAATAATAATCTTTAAATGTGATTTCTGTCGAATATTTAGAATAATTTAATAGTAGCAGATCAATTACGTTGAAGAAAGAATGATTATATCGAGATCCAGACGTTTGAATTTTGCTAATTTATAAAGAGAGTACACAATTTTCTCTATAGAAATTCTCATAGTTGAATAGTTTGAAATTCTATTAATTGATTAGAATTTCCAGTTATCCGATGGTTAAAGAGTATTTTTTTATTAAAAAATAATCTATAACTTAATGAGAAATAATCGCAGGTTTTATTGCTCGATTTGAAAGGAAAATAAATATTCTATTGATTGAGGGAGAGTGTAGATGTGGATGTGATTGTGAGGGATGGCTGATTGTCTGACTAGTGAATAGCATATTCATATTCCAGCCAGTACACTCACGCCCACTCCAAGATTTATATTATATTTTACTATGAGGAAGAAAGACAAATTGTATCCGATAGTCTCGATTATAGGTAATGTTGAATGATTACGTAACCTGTTTTGTTTGACCAGTAAAAGCAGTATGCAAATAATAATGATTATTTATATACGAACAGCCACGCACCGGAGGATATATCGAAAAGAAAAAAAATAATAAAAATCATTGAAATTTATTTAATGTTTCACAAATTTTGATTGATTTGTTTTTGTTAAATAGACAATTCATCAAGTATTCAATCAGTGTATTCATCCGTATTAACAGAAAATCATCCAACATATTCTCCTACCGGTTGTGATCTCCAAAACTACTATTATGAAGCCATACAAATGAATGTCAATGAAAGTCGCTATTATAGTCTTAGTAGCAACAGCACTATCGATACATATGGCTACATGTACATAGACAGTTTCTATCCATCCAATCCATTTAAGAATATAATTCTGAAAAATGGCACCAATTTCGGTAAAAATAAGTCCGGATTCAGAATTTTTCTTCAGTCAACCACTGCAAATATACTGGTTGTGACAACAAGTAGTCCAAATGCAACAGGAACATTCTCAATTATTATGTCTAATATCAATAATGTCACTTTCAAACGTCTAAGTAAGTGTCTATAATAATATTTATAAACATCAGCACAGAAGTACAAACCCTAGAAAATATACCTATACTCAATTTCTATTCTGTATCTATCTCAAATCTTGTAAAGCTCCCTATTGAATAGAAATAGTTGTTTCAAAAGAGAATTCTCACATGATGAACATCCTTTTTTCACAGAAGTACTTGAACGGAAAAATGCACTTATTAAAACTTGACAACAGTAACTTCTCGATATTTTGTTCTTTGCCGAAAACTTTCAAAATATTGAGATTATGTGGATCTCAATAAATAACGGTAATGTTATTATAGATTCACACTTGTTATTCACTATCGCATCTACAAAAGTGAAAATACACCTAGTGCTGATAGTTAGAGTTCCTCATCTGTCGGATAGAAAAAGCTCTTATGAGTGAGTTAAAAATGATCGACATGTGCTATTGAAATACTCTTTGAGTATTAATATGGTCAGATATAAAATAATCTTGATCAGATCATTAACGATCGTTTGTCTCATGTCATCGATACATTCGTATAATGATCATAATGTAATAAGCATCAGTTGTTGTAACGCTCTAGTATGTTGTTAGTTAATATGTATCAGGAACTGAGGTGATTAAGCATGAGAGTTCTTCGTGTGATCAGCCTTCTATTCAATGCTGCATATAGTGATACTTGTAAGAAAGAAATTCAGCTTAAGTAACTGTTATCAGACAACATTCAACCTTGTAAAATACTCGAAAAACAGATATTCGCCTTTTTTCTCTTTGGTCCTCCAATAGATGATACTTGTGAGAAAAATAAAAGATTTATGTAGTAAGTAAAAAGTAAGTGAATGAGACATTTTCTCTAGTGTAAGATTTGATGTTTGATATTGAGAAGAACGAAAATAGTTGAAATAGAGTCGAAAAAAGTATTTTTCTCATGATTTTGATATGATGAAATATTTCACAGTTGACAACACAAATTCTTTTTGAAAAAAGATAAGGATTGAACCGACTTTCATGAAAATAATCAAGAGATCGTAAACAGAATTCTGTTTTCATTATTTTTCGAAAGCAATATATGAGAACAACATCAAATCATTACGTTAAATGATTGATCTCATTCAGAAGAATGGAAGTTAATTTTCGTGCTTCTATTCCGCCGCAATTAAATCCTTATTTCAACTGAAATATTTTTTATTAATATTAAGCACAAATTCATTCGACTGTATTTTTTTATTTATACAAACTATGAATATTTTATGAAAATATCTTTAACCGCGTCAAGATGCTTTATTAATAATGTCGTAACAAAACAAAATTCGTTAAAACGATATTTTCATAGTACCTTGAGAATGTGGAAAACATTACGATGATATAAATTGACGATTAAAATACATTATTTGTTTAGATATGCACATATTTTCTTCCTAAATATTTTCAAAATAAAACATGTTGAACGTTGGTGATGCATTTTCATTCGATACGTTCACACAAACAAATCATTTTATTTATTGTTTTTGTAACAAATTCCCGTATAGATTTGTGAGTTAACAAATATTCAAAATGCATAATTTCAATTAAGAGAAAGAAGGGTATGGATGAGAGTGTAGCGCTTTAATAACAACCACACTCGCACCCACATCATTTCATTCATAAAAGTCATTCAAGATAATCATAACAGCTTCATTATGAAATATCCACTTTGAGTACATATATTCGAACAAAAACCTAGATACAAAGCTGTATAAGTTTACTAAGATGTTACGAATTTTCATCTGATTGTTTTTTATTGAATAGATACTTCATCAGTCGTTCATTCGATTTACTCATCAGTATTCACAGAAAATCATCCAATGTATTCGAATACTGGCTGCGATCATTCAACCTATTATGAAGCGATACAAGTAAATGTAAATGAGAGTGGCTATTATAATTTTGCTAGCAACAGCAGTATCGATATACTTATTACTATGTACAAAGATGATTTCAATCCATCCGATACATTAAAAAATTTGATCTCAAAAGATGACAACAGCTGCCCTAACAATCATCAGTTCAGCTTCTCAGTTTACCTTGAGATCAGTACTAAATACATCTTGATTGTGACAACCAAAAATCCAAATGTAACAGGATCATTCTCAATCATTGTATCTGGTGTCAGCAACATAACTCTCGAACGTCTAAGTGAGTATTTATACTATTAGTAAAAGTCAGTCTCAAAAAGAGAAAAGTCAAAAAACGTATGTTAAACTCAATCGGATTTCTGAATTCACTAAAAATCTTCAAAAACTCACTACCGAAACAATTAGAGGTTAATATTTACAAGGATCATTGTTCAAAATTCAGTGTCAATACACTACACATAAATGATATTTAGAAAATTCAAATTTTATTTTGTTTATTCGAACAAAGCGGAAAATCTTTTGAGCCTTTCTTAAATAACAAAATATCTGAAACAGCTTTCGTTTTTATTAGAAGTTTGTAAAAAATTTTCAGATTCCATATCACATCCATCCTTTTATAGTATCCAACACGAACTTTCAGTTCCAAAATTGATTACAATCAACAGATATAAGATGTCAGCGAGATCAGTAGGAATTACTTGAAGTTTAAAAGAAACTGTTTCTTATAAAATTAAAGGATTAATTGACTGGATGTAATATCTGATTTCAAAGTGAAATCTTTTCTATTAAAAGTTCGGTTAAGTTCTACACATTTTCTCAAAAGATGAAATTTCAATGAAGCAACCATCGATAATATCTTTTATCAAAGTTTCTTCATTAAATTTCAATATAAACCGTAATTTTAACATTTTCTTATTTATTTCATGAGAAATACGAATACTACAATATTCATGGATTATCTTAAAATAAACAAAATTGAAACATTATAATCAACTTTCTCTGTCGAAATGGTTATGAAATAATCATTATGATTTCCTTCTGTTTTCTTACTGAACGCATTAGATAGATCTTTGCCAGAATATCTTCACTCTGTAGACATATATTTGAAAGAAAAACAACATTGAAAAAGTTTTTAAATTCATTTACATGTATTATGAATAGAATACTGATAGATCTGTCTTTTGTTGACTAGATACTTCATCAGTTGTCCAATCTATGTATTCATCAGAACTAACAGTGAATCATCTAAAGTATTCTCCTTATTGTGACAAACATAACTATTACTATGAAACTATACAAACCAACGTAGTCACCAATGGAGTATATACGATTGCAAGTAACAGTAGTTTCCGTACATACGGATATATCTACAAGGACAGTTTCGATCCATTCAATCCATTTGTAAATTTAATCCGTAAAGATTTTTTGGGATGCGATATTGGAAACTTTCGACTTACCGTCAATCTTGTAGTCAATGTTAGATACATACTGGTTGTGACAACAACTCTTCCATATGCGACAGGATCATTTTCAGTCATTGTGTCTGGACCAGCGAACACCAGTGTGAAACGTATTAGTAAGTATTCATAATTTTTCTTGATAGTCGGTACCCCTACAATTCGGCCTTTTTTTGTCCTTTACTATTCGTCCTTTTTTAATTTGTCCTAAATGTTTTTTGTTCGATTTCATTTTGTCTCTTTACAATTCGTCCTAATTATCTCTTGTCCCATTACATTTCGTCCTCTTACATCTCGTTCCAAAAGTTAAGTATTCATTTTTATCACGATAATATGAATTAAAATTTAGAGTGGGTGTGGGGGTGGATGTGAATAAAGTAGATACATATCCTCCTCCTCCACACTCACACCCACACCCACACCCCACACCCACACCCACACCCACACCCACACCCACACCCACACCCACACCCACACCCCACACCCACACCCACACCCACACCCACACCCACACCCACACCCACCCGATTTGGACGACAAAGAGTGTTTTCATTATGTATTCTGTCAGATAACTAGTAACAATAACTCAAAAGTCAGGTTTTTATCTAAGTTTATCATGAGAACTTGAACGTTTTAGTAAAAACTTCTTCAAATTTTGACAAAACTTACATATCTTTTTAACTTTTCGACATGAATTGATTCTCGGCGGGCTCTCTGATCGAAAAGTATGCATAGATGTCATAATACCATTACCCCGGGTATCGACAGTCAGACGGCAGGATATCCTAACATGAAGTCAACGACAGTAAATTAACATTCACTCCACACATTACACCAAGGAGTAATGACTTCATTACCCCACTAAAAAATATATTCATTATAGAAGTTGAGGAATATGAGTGGATTCGGGGTAACGAGCTGGTTACACCAAATCAACTCATATTCCTCAGCTTTTCACATATACTTCATTTTGAGGTAACGAGCTGGTTACACCAAATCCACTCATATTCCTCAACTTTTTACATAACGTATATCTTTAAAGCTGAGGAATATGAGTTGATTTGGTGTAACCAGCTCGTTACCCCAAAATGAAGTACATGTGAAAAGCTGAGGAATATGAGTTGATTTGGTGTAACCACCTCGTTACCCCAACAACCCACAGCGACATCAGTAGCCACAGCAACAAGTGTGGGTGCTGGGAAAGCCAGGCCAGTGGGCAAAGCAACAAGTGTGGGTGCTTGGAAAGCCAGGCCACTAGGCTAAAAGACAACTTAGGGTGTTCAAAAGCAATACATCGTCCGCCACATCTCGAACCAACAACTAACAAAAGGCAGATTTCAATCCGTCTTATTTCATGTACAAAATCTAAATTGATTGAACTGAAGCGTTATAGTCAGCTTAGCTGTCGGAAAGATTAATCGCAACAATCCGTTTCATAATTAGTCTCTAACACACATGGCTATTCATGACGTTTCCGCGAAATAAGCAGATCAATCTAAGAGACAATATCATTACCCACACGTGAATACACCAAATCAACTCATATTCCTCAACTTTTCACATATACATCGTTGGGGTAACGAGGTGGTTACTCCAAATCAACTCATATTCCTCAGCTGTTCACATATACTTCATTTGGGGTAACGAGGTGGTTGCACGATACCCTCGCGGGGTAACTTTGTAAGCGACGTGTTTGTAGTAGAATACCCGGTGTAATGGGATTATGACATCACTCAAAGTATGGTTAGTACAGTAGTCTACTATCTAAGAAGAGCAAACAGACTTAGTTTCTATTTTACACTGTCATATTGTTATAGAGATATTTCGAGAAGTTATGGAATAATCCTCGAAAAGATGTGTCCCAAATAATTCGACATGGGTACTGTTAGCAAAATGTAAATCTAAAAATGATCAAAAATCTATTGTGAAAAAGCAATTCTAGAAAAATAAATTTCATCCATTATTTAGTTTTCTAACCTGTTAACATTTTCAAATAAGACAAAGAATTCTTCAATAACTTTCAACATTTCTGAATATTGATGCAATGTTACGCTAAATATATATTGATTGATTTGTTTTAATTATTATGATCATAAGATGATATTTATCTTGTTAAAACACACTTAATCAATAAGAATTGACTTTTCTCAGTACTCAACACAATGTTAAGTTTCTTTATTTTGTATCAACAATTGATAAATGTTTTCTTCAAAGTGAAAAATGAATGATTTATCAGAGATTATTGATACACAAAAAGCACATTAGTTATGAAACTTCTCTTACTTTCATTCTAAAAGAATTTTACTTGATATCATATACTTTATTGTAACTAATCAGTGATCTTCTTTGATGAATTTCTAATCATAAATGATCTAAATATCTTCATCAAACTTGTTTTTACGTATCGCGTAGAATAATATTTTCAAAATATTCAAAAATAAAATACTTATTTAACTCTATTCGAGCAAAGCTCAGATCTTTGTTTTATTTCTTTAGTTGAAAATCATGATGAATGTGTTATTGGTGGTTTGTGTAATGTTCAAACTAAAGGTATCGGTATAACTCTTGATGATATTTTACGTTATGAAATTAACCGAAATGTGACATTGAAGAATCAATCATTATTAATCAAAATGAGTGTTGGTTTAACAATAACTATGTTTCTCTTGGGTTTAATCAATAGTATTTTGTCACTTTTAACATTTCAAAATGAAAATTTAAGAAAAGTTGGATGTGGAATATATCTTTTAGCATCGTCAATAACTTCTCTTCTCACAATTTCTATGTTTACAATCAATTTTTGGTTTATTCTTCTCACTCAAATGAATTCATCAATTAATTTATCTGTTCGTCGGGGTGGATGTATTTCTATTGAACCTCTTCTTAAACTTTTTCTTTACTTTGATACATGGCTTAATGCTTGTGTTGCTATTGAACGGGCAATTAATGTTTATCAAGGTATCCAATTTAACAAAGAAAAGAGTAAACGTCTTGCTCGATGGGTTATATTCATTTTACCATTTTGTATTACAGCTACAATCATTCATGAACCTTTACATCACAATATCTTCGAATATCCAGTAAAAGAAAAGATGGGGTATGAAACAAAGATAATAGAAATACATAGATGGTGCACAATTAATTATTCTCGTGTTGTTCAAGATTATAATACAGCTATTCTTTTCATTCATCTCATTGGTCCTTTTATTGCAAATCTGTTTTCTGCTTTATTCATCATTCTTGGAACAGCCCGCCAACGGTCACTAGCTCAAACGAGCCAAAATTACATCGCACATATTCGTGCACAATTACGTGAACATAAACAATTAGTGATTAGTCCAGCAATTTTACTTATTCTATCAACACCACGTTTGATCATTTCATTATTATCTGGATGTGTCAAGGTATCTGATAAACCTTGGTTATATCTTTGTGCTTATTTCATTTCATTTACTCCATCGATACTTGTCTTCATTGTATTTGTCGTTCCATCGGAAATGTACAGAAAAACACTAAAAGAATCACTAAGAACTTGGCAACGACGAATTCGTCATTAAAATTTGTGTATTATTTTCAAATATTATATATCAGACTCTCATAACATATATATTTGATATTATCAATATGGTTAAGCCGTGTAATCAATGATTAAACTCATAATCATTGTTTCGTATACGTCTTCGAACAGTTCATATGACAAAAAAAAACAATCAATTAACTGTTACATTTTTAACTTATATTTTCGAATAGATTTTGAAGTCTTGCTCATATTCTTTCATTTAGCAATTAATAATGAAACCAAAGTTTTCGTTGCGATTGATTTAACTAAAGACTATTTGTCATATCAAAATATAAAGATATTTGTCAGTAGAGTTAGTGTGAATATGATATGTTAAAGAAGTATCTTGAGGGTGTGGATACGAGATAGTCTAGATGCATACTCACACCCACACCCATCTATATTCAACTAGAATATTTTATTTGCCTTTTGTCTTAGTATTTATTCAGTTTTATTGAATAATACACTGAGGATGTTGATAAAATGACAGAAACAAAACTGTGATGAAGAATAAATATCTCATTTTACGATTGTCATTTAGTAAACACAACACTATCTTTCTTTTAAAAAAAGCAACGTGTTATCATGCTTTAATATTACTTCGTCATTAACATGTCTTTTTAGTCAGTATAACAAACTTGGCATTACAATAGAAAATGAATACTTCTTTTCGAGTATTATTCCTTTATTTTTACATTCTTTTCAATGCTATCCATTGTATTCAAACAACTCCCAGTGGTTTTTTGTTAGCAGTTTCGTATGATCCAAGAGCAACCTCAAACGCTTTGTTTAAAATTGATCCATTAACTGCAAATTTTACCGTTTTTACACCTTTGACAGATTACAAAGCATATGATGTTACTTATGATTTCATCCATAAAATATTTTACATTTTTGGTAGCACAGGAACATCGCCGTCAGTTATAATAGTTAATCCATTCACTGGCACAACAAAGTATCGAGAAATTACTATAGAACCTGATGCTGAAATCTTTGGTTTACGTGTTGATAGTAGCACAGGAAAATTATATTCAGTACAAATGAATGATGTGTTTGAAACTCCTCCTACAAGTATTGTTCAAATCGATCCAAGTAATTTTATCGCTAAACGATGGGTTAACATAACTAAAGCTAGTGGTGTACAACCTGATTCCATGGCATTCTTTTTTAATGCAACAGTTCATCAATATTTTGTAACAGTTCCTTATGGTGATGATTATCTTGTTGGTATCGATGTCGTACAACGAAAAATAATCAGTGAAATAACAAATGCGCAATTGCCAGCTTATTTATGTTATGATAATAAAACCAATGCTTATTATGGTATGCAGGAAGCTACGGGTAAACGTGCTTGTCGTTTAGTACGTTTAAATCCTTATAATGGCACTATGGACATTTTATCTCCTGATTTTGATGATTATCTAGCATCAACTGGAGATTGTTATGGGGGATATTACTTTACAATGATTGTTGAGGGTTTGGACAATCAAAATATTGTCACATTTGATTTAAATAATAATGGAAAAATAATAGCAAACAATCCAGCAGAAGCCTATTTAGATGCATTTGCATTTGTTTCAATTTAGTTACAAGATTTTCTTTTATTATATCAGTGTGTATTATGAAAAGAATTCTATATGATATTTGATTGTTTTTTGTTATTTCCTACAAATTTTACATCATGTTCCAAAATAAATAAATGTAAAAAGGAATATAACATAATTTCTAAAGAAGAACATGTAATTAAAGATCGATAACACTTCAATAATATTGCTTGTATGAAATTTGATTTCAGCCATAGAAGGCGAAAGCACAATGTAAAAATAGAAATAATAATAATAATTAATACAAGAATTATCAGATGTAATATCAATAGGAGACAATAAAAAAGAAATTTTCTTTTTTTATTTGATAATAGTTGACTGTGAAAGATCAGTATGTGTCCTCATGTCGGTAATAATGAAGTGAAAAAGTTATCGAAGTTGTCTCGAAAACTAAATCAAAAAAGAGCGAAAATAATTTCACTTAAAAGAATATGCATGTTCTTTTAGTAGTTCTTCGAAAAACGTTTTGTCTACGCATAGTATAATAAAATTAACTTCTTGTACTTAATTCTTTGTCCAGAATAGCTTTCAATGTTAAAATTGTTTCTCATTCAAGTAACATCAATTTTTGTTAGTTTAAGTGAAGATATCAATATTCTTTTCCGTTAAAGATAAATGAAAAGCATAGTTATAATAATTATGAACCAAGTATTGTAACTTGTTCGAATAATGATATGATGAGTGAGTGTACGTGTACGTGAATATATCGGTATTTCATATCACTGAAGCAGTGAGGCACACCACACCCTCTCAACATGCATGAAATTTACTTTTACGTAGCCTTTTCTGTGCATTTTCACTTTAATCAATATCTCGATTGTGGCATTTCACAGTTGAGGTAG